TTGGCAAGTTAGCAAGACCTTTTAAATTACATCATTCCCTTAAAATCTTCTCTGTGGGAGCTAGAAAGTTGCAGTAGGATTCAGTGCTTTAGCATCTCAGATCTACCATTTCTCTAGCCCTGAACACACACATTCACCTCTGCTCAGCTTGTCCAGTTCTGCCTCCCCTTTCCATCTAGTGGTTCCTGTAGATATCCATCCATACCTAATAGCTTTACACATACTATAGGGCCTTTGATGATACTACAGGATCTTGTTAAGTGTGCTCGGAAAAGTTAGGCCCCTCAGACACCTGCTCATAGTGATCTTAAATTCCCAGTCATTAAAATAATATTAAAAACATGGATTTTGCCTGTAGCCATTCCTTTAATTGCCTCCATGTGTTCGGCTAATTCTGCCTCGCTTTAATGCTTAGGCCAATAAAAGAATTGAGACGATTGCACAGTCCCTGAAAAGTAAGCTCTCCCTCGATTGACTCTGCAGCACCCATTGAAGCTGATCTGAAATTGAACACAGCCAGTACAGCTGTGAAAGGAGGAGACAGCCCAGAAGTCAGGGGTGCCATGCAGCCCACGGGGCTGTCTTTCAGCCTGTGGGCCTTTTGACTGCAACTGCCATCACCAACAGAGATGACACTGCCACTGTTCAGCTCCCATTGCTGCAGCTACTGAGGCCACTTCATTGGCACAGCCAGCACCCACGGCAGGGGAGGAATGTTGCCACTGAATTTAGTGTTTTCAGTTGCCTCTGGTGCCTAAAATGGACAGCAGTTGGTGATGGGGTTTGAGCAGCAGACTCATTAATTGTGATAGCACTAACAGCTGCAGTGAGAAGTCCCTCCATTCAGATCCAGCTTGCCAAGTCATTCGAGTGAGATGCCCTACTCTAGAATATGATTTATGCTTAGGTTCCAATCCAAAACTAACCCAAAAGCCCTAAATGAGAGGAAATGATACAAAAAACAATAGCATCTACCCTTCATTGTGCAACTGTATTGGGAGACACTGCATCCATAGGACATATGTGAGTTCAGATGTCTCCAGTCAGTTGTCACCCACAGAACAGCCTGGTATTTTGGCACAATAGTTATTGGAATTTTTTTGCTACTGGGTGATATTGGCAACTTAGAGCAAGAATAGTGACACAGCTGCCAGTGCCGAAGCACAGGACTTTGTGAAATATAGCACATGGTTACTGAAGTATTCCTGGAAGTGCATTGCATTATGTGAGTTTGTCCCAGAATCTCTGAACCTAAATTGTAATTTTTTTCCAGGATGGATGCCTCCACAGGAGAAGTATTTGCTGTGTCCATTACCTTTTGCTTCCCAGTGAGTTTAGGCAGATGGGAACTTGACAGCTCAAAAACAGAGAAGGGGACAGGAAATTCTGGAAGGAAGTCCTAAATAATTAATCTGTTTTAGTATAGAGTCCAAGCCCAGCCTTCACGACTCAAGTTGCTAGTTCCCCCTAACTTATAGTCTCAGCCAATGCCTAGGCAATGTGCAGCATTTAGAACAAAAAGTAGTCAACCTCTTGATGGAGTTGAGCTGACTTTGCCTAGCTAGAATGGCATTGAATAACTGAGGTGTCTTAATTTTTCCTCTTTGCCCAGTATTACAGCAGCAATTCAGCTGTAATCCCTCTGGACAAGAAAATTACTTTTTGTTTTGGAGGATAGCTACATATAATAACTGCAGCTCCATGACTCCTATTTGATCTTGGCAAGTCATTATTTGAGGCTACTATAGTACAAATAACTGGCAGTGAACAAGGCCTTACTGGTATATATTGTACAATTAAGGTTCCAGAACTAATGGAAGTATTTGAAAAATGAGGGTTGTTTCGCAACTGTAATGAAAAAAGAGCGAGGGAAGACGCTTGCCCATTAGCCACTCACCAAGTAATGCAGCTGCACACAGACGCTTTATTATCCTACTGTGTTTCAGACTGCAGAGTTTCTAGGTATTATCTTTAGCTGGTCTGTTAATAGTAGCCATGAGGCAGGAATTTTCAGGCACCTTGGTTTATATCCAAGGAAGCAGAAAAGCACACTGCATTCTTGCACACTTGCAGCAGAAGTGTTAACAGTGGTACGGCACCTACCATGAGCCTAGATTATTCAGCATGTCCTTTCCACTTCCCTTTCTCTACTGCTGTCTCCATCCACCCTAGTAACCTCAGGAGTATACAGACACCAGTCATGTAACTAGCAATTGTAATGCCCTAGGCAGAGCACTGAAGAGCAAGAAGTGCACTTTTCACCCTAGCTGCTGTTGCCATAATGCAGGGTCCCCAGGCACTGCCACTCTGGTGTCCCCTCTAGCTTAGTGCCTGGGACTGATGTTCCACTCACCCCACCCTAGTTAAGCTGTTGCACACTCACATGCTATTGGTAGTGGCATACACTACCTAGTAAGCTAGAGTCATAAGGGGGTTTGTTATAAGGGGGGTTCCCCCTCAGTCAGAACTCCCAGTGACATGAGAAAAGGACCCCTTTTCTGGCACAGAAACAATTGCACAGGCAGTAATTAATTCAGTCTGTAAATGAACTGTGTGGCACTTTTTAGGAAGGGGGACAAAACACATCGACTGTAGTGAGATTGGTTTTATTCAGCTGATTTTTAGCAGTGTAAACCATTGGACTTGACTCCAGCCGGCAAAGAGATGTATGTTCAGACCTGGCTCCTTTTCCTATAGCTTCCCAGCCTATCAAACTTACTTTTGTCTTCACTACCCACATCACATTTCCCTGGCTTTTTATCATCATGAACTATGGTCCTCCTCCCCCGCCCCCGTGGACTTCCTTTCACAGCCCTAGAGCCTGCTGTGATGATGTGGCAGCTCAGAGGGATCCTGCTGGGGTCCGTGTCACTCCTCATGCATTTTCCTACACTACCATTGGCAATGCCTCCAGCTCCAATACAAATTGCTAGTGAGAGAGAGTTCACTGTGCAGCCCAACCTACCCCTGCAACCACCACCATCATTTCTCCCTAGTTCCTTTTTGAAAGAGCATAGGAAGAATTACTCAAGAAATCTCAGCAGCTTCAAAAGATAGCAGTCCTCTCCTATGTTGCTGCTGCACTCTGCTGTAGCATGGTGGGTAGGGCAGTCTTCAACAACCAAGCAAATGGACAGCTTTTAAAAAAAAAAAGTAAAACAGCTTTCAGTTTACAACCAGGTTTTCCTTTTTGTTTCCTTCCTCACAAAAATAAAGATAATTCTATTGTTGCACTTTGCCAACAACTGCCTCCTCCGCCAATCTGAAAATCTGTCCCTGTAACTGATGTTTCAGGGTTACCTAAGGTCACTGCCCTCTTTGAAGCAGAAATTGGAATTTTTCTTAGTTAGAGCACTACATCTGCAAGATGCCCAAGAGGCCTGGTTCAGAAGCACAGGTAGTGACAAATGAAAAAGCAGGCAACTTGCTTCAGATAGGCCCTCATAACCAAACCCAAGAAATGGCCTCTTGCTTCTGTTCAAGGATGCTTATAAACTAGCAAGCATGAGCAGTTTGTTTCCATCCTAGAGCATCCTTGAGAAAACTTCTCTAATCCCTAAACCTTTTTTTTAGCCCACATAGTGAGCCTGAGCTATTAACTTTTGTATGGCTGCCTTGCAAAACAAGGCACATTACTCTGTTTCTCAGACACCTGAATAGACCCATTTTAAACCCTTTAACAAGTCACTGGAAGCAGTAAATATACAAATGGCTTCTAATTGTGACCTAATACAGCAAAGAAAAAAAAGCGCCACCTCCATCACTCAGTATTTGAAATTAGCTTTAATTGCTTCCATTGCTGCCTCCCCCCTACCCCTCTTGTTGGCTCATTAGAAGCAATATGTATTTCACTGACAAAGTATTAAATATTTATAACTCCTTGCACAACTTTCAGCATTCGCTTAGATACAGCAGTTCAACACTGTAGTATGGGCCACATGAAAGAATTCTGATGATACACCAGATACAAGAGATTCCTTCTGAAAATACTTCATGGTATTCAATGGATACTAAAACAAGAACCTCCCATTCATATGCTACACTCCTTCTGAACTGGTTCTGTGGCTTGGCTTTGTCACAAAGGAATTGCTTATTTGTTGAATCTGGGTTGTGTACCCAAAAAACACAAAAGTACTTTTTTTATTCACACAGTCTCTAAGGATCACATGAGATTCCCTAATGATTGCAAACCCTGGAATCCCCACTAGACAGCAGTGGTCAGTAGCAGAAATTGCATTGGATGCGTTCTATTTTCCTCTGTCATTAGGGAGTCAATGTAAAGCCATGGAAGCTTTTGTTAGGGGAACATGCCATGCACTTATTCAACTATAGGTTAATATATGCTGATGGATTGCCTCCTTTACTTGATTTAGCTTCTGGAATGAGCAACATAGGGTGGAGAAGAGGAAAAAAGAGGTTTGGGCTCAGGTGAAAGGGAAAATCTTTTTTCTTCTTTTTGTAAATACTAAATAAAGATAACAGTTAACTTTCTTTTTAACTTTCACTTAAGAATGCTGGGATTGAAGCAAGTGTGTTTGTTTTTTTTTTTAACCAGTAGTGATCTACCTTTTGGTCCTGCCGACTAGATAAGTGATGTGGGGCCCAGCCACAGGATGGGGTTGGCTCCTACATTGGTCCTGGTCACTGCATGCCTGGATCCTGCCTCGTACCATCCAAATTGGGCACGGCATGTCCAGATACCACTTCGCTCCATGCTATGTGCCCAGTCTAGTGCACAGCATGGCAGGCCTCACTACCTGACCCACAGGGTTCCCCAGCTTCCAGACATTTGGCAGAAGGGGAGTGGCAATTAATGCTGCCATTGCTGCACCACTGCCAAATTTTCAGACCAATGCAGAGCTCTTCAGGCTGGTTGACATGGCTCCACAGGCCAGATCTGGCCCAAAGGCCAGGGATTGAACACTGCTGTTTTAAGCCAATGTACACATTTTCATTAATTGGTGGTGTTATAACATGAATCTTTGCTTCTCTTTTTACAGCCAGTGCTGATTTCCCATACAATGGCCAAGCTATAGGAGATGGAGTTAACAGGAACTCGGCCATTATAGGAGGTAAGGAAAAAATAAATGTTAGTTAAGATGATTTGTGGCTTGAGTGTAGGTGGTAACAGCAGAACCATTCAAATTGCCTGGTTTACTATGGGGTCATCTACATAGGAAAGTTACACTAGCACAAAGTAAGGTATGAATTTAAACCAGGATGGATTATTCTGGTATAAAATGATCCTCCTCTGATTTAGTCATTCTGGAAGCAGTTCAAGCCAAGGCAAAGGAAAGCCTTTCTCATTCTGTAATAGGAGAATCCACTGGGTGAGTTATGCTGGTATAACTATATTAGTATAACTGGCAACATTTCTTGCCATTAGTCCAGTGAATTAGTACAGACAAATTAACAAAAGCCTAATTCAGGACCCACTGAGGGAAAATCAAGCTCTCAGAACGAAAGGCTGCATGTTGGGTTGAGTGCTTTCTTTGACAAAAGGTCAAGTTAATCTTGCCCTGTTTTAGGGGCCACATTCTGCTTGACCACTCATGGATCCCATTTGAGTTAATAAGTTTGCTCATGGTGTCAGGTGCTAAATTAGCATCTAAGCAAAGCTAGCTTTTCATAGAATCATAGAAATTTAGGGTTGGAAGGGACCTTGGGAGGTCATCTTGTCCAACCCCTAGCTCAAAGCAGAACCATTCCCAACTCCACAACTTTTGAGAGACACTTTTCCTTTATCAAATTACAGAACACACAATGTGGACCCTTATTTAGGTTTATGAGCAGGTGTCCCAGCCGCTTTCCCTGCCCTGTAATAAGGAATAGTCAGATGACCAAGTTTGTTTTGTTTGCTCCATGAATTATCAACATGATAAGGGGGAGGATGACGGAGTCCAAGTGTACCATGTAATTTTTCTGAGAAATAAAACTGTTATCTTCCAACATTTCTTAGAAATAAAAATGGTACCTTATCTTTGTAGCAAGCAGTGTTGAATTAAAGAGTATATTCTTACTAATATAACTGCTCAAAAAGTAACTTTTTGATTTTCTGTAGCTTCATAAATATAAGAATATCTTTGGGGGGGGGTTAAGTGACAATCTTGCCTTTTTCTTCATTTTTGACACTCCCCCCTCGCCCTTAGGTGTCATCGCTGTCGTGATCTTTACCATCCTTTGCACACTTGTGTTCCTGATACGCTACATGTTCCGTCACAAGGGGACCTACCACACTAACGAGGCCAAAGGGGCAGAGTCTGCCGAGAGTGCCGATGCAGCCATCATGAACAATGACCCCAACTTTACGGAGACTATTGATGAAAGCAAAAAGGAATGGCTTATCTAAAAGTGTGTGTATGGGGACGAGGGGGGTTGGCATTATGGCTGGGGTGGGATTGGGGATGACTCTTTCAGTGAGAAGAAAACACTCTACTTCGGACTCTGAGCACATCTACAGTAAAAAGATCAGCACAACTGGAGAAGCAAGTGACAGACAAAACCGTTGAGATGGGGGGGGGAAGAAATAACACACTAGCATTTAAGAAAAATACTTTTTAATATTCATTTACAATGAATTGCCCCTTCTGTATCCAAACAACAACAACAAAGAGCAGCTTTTAGAGCCTCAGCATTGGTTAAAATTTGTCAATAATACCTGTCTTTCTGTGTGTGTTTTAGAGGTGTTCTAAATTCCCATAATGATAACAGGGCCAATTTTTTACATTTTTTAAAAGCCCTTTAGAATGTGGATATTTTTGTCTTGAGAACGGCGGACAAGTCCAATGTTCTGTGTTCTTTTCTTTCACACATGGTCAGTTCTAGACAGGTTGCCATAATACCCAGGTCTTGTTCATAAAATGTTACATTTGGTGTTGTTTGAATTGGGGGGGTCAAAGTTTTAGGGGTGGGGGGGCAGGGAAAAGAGGATTGACGCTTATTAATATCTGTCAATTTTCATAATGCCACCAACCTGTGCCAACACTGTAAGAGTTCATCTTTGACACAGGCACCTAAAATGTTGATTGTGTACAGTACTTATCAGCAATGTAAAAATACTATTATTATTCTTTCTAGCAGAGAGGCTTATCACAAAGCACAGGAAGCTTATTTTGTTTTGTTGTTCAAATCTGAAGGAGGATGATACCGTTCGAGTGTGTAGACCTAGTCTGTTTTCTGTATCTTTGGCTATGACGCTGCTGACCTGAGGTCACATGCCAACTTAAATTCAGCTCTACCTGTGATATATTGGCGTATACTGTACTTAGGCATAAGCATTGTAGTAGGGAATTAGAGCCAAACTTTACTGTTTGTTTGCTTCTGTTTCTTTTTTTAATAGGCTGTCGCAGAAATTAGTACAGTTCTAGTGAATGCATTTGATCCAACAGACTTCACGTAATACTTTTTTCTGTCCTTGGCATACCAATTTGGTTTGTTCTTTAAATCTCTGGTTTAAATCCCTTTGCGAAGAAGGCCTCTGTAGCAGCATTCTCACAGGCAGTAAAGTAAAGCAACAAGAGGCTTGGACAACTCTGCTCAGAGTGCAACAGCCACACAATGTTACTATTTAATATATACAGATTGGCCTGACTAATTTCATTCTTTGTAAGGTAATTTTAAAGATGGCAAAGGCAATATCTAGCACTTCAGGGAACACAGTCTCTCAAACCAGCTGAATTTCTGCTTTGTCACTATGGAGGAGGCAGTCAGTTTGCAGTGATAGTTAGCGGTAGCCTGAATAGCTAATATCATCTTTGACGGCAATAAAATGGCTTTAGCTTCCCCACTGCAGAGGAACAGGGTTCTCCAGTGATCTGGTTTGAAAGACACGTAGGGCCTTATGGGTAGTTGTGCAGTGAAACAGAATGTAGATATGAATGTATTGCAGGGCATTTACTGTGCATTTAAACAGAACCAATATCAAGAGTTTCTTGTGGAAAGGATTTATGCCTGTGGCATTTTTGGATTCACATAACCTTATATATTTACAGTTTTGGCATGCACAGCTTTAATCCACTCCTACAGTACCTGCTTGCAAGGAAGACTTATTTGAAATTCAAATGAACTGTAATCTCATGAACTGAGCAGTGCTGTTCTTTTAATTTCTCTCTTCCTTTTTGCTTTGTATGTTCAATTATGCTGGTTGATGCTGTAAAGTGAAAGGAGATTTAAAAAAAAAAAGTTAGAGAAGAATATTGGAGCATTTCAACTTTTCTTTGTATTTCTAAGTCTCATCATTTCTTCCTTGTTTATAAACGCAGTTTGCCAGACAAGACAACAAGGTCGGAGAGTCTGGTTTAACAAGTTAAACCCAAAGTCCCTGGCATCACAAGCTGGACTTGCCGAATCACTGTAGCGAACATAGTATCAAACCCACTGATTTCTTCGGAATATGGATTTGGACTCAGCATGTAAACACGGCCAGTTTTAAAAAAATCATTGACTGTTTTCTCAGGTAACTTTACAGAGGTTAGGTTCCAGTTGGATGGGAAACTAACTTTGTTCCTCTTGTGCTTGGCACTGCTCTGCTTCTAGGATTATCATCTATCACTCACTCTCAGCTGAGTGGAAGAGTCTTTAATCCTGTTTACGACTAGGGGATAAAAGAAGAACCTCTTCTCTTAGAAACCTCAAAACAATATAATGGTACTTTGAGATTAATCTGACATGCACTGCTATCTATTTAGCCAGGTCCTCTACCGTTGCAAATCTCTACTTGACCACAACTTTTGTTTATCCTATTGAAGAAAATCACACTTTTCTTTTCCTTTTAATATTTGGTTCCAATTGGTATGTTAGTCCTTTTTAATAAAAACAGGCCTGTGACTTCAGCAGGTCAAGATAAATCAAATGAGAACATAACATCCATGTTCTTAGAGCCTTGTTACACAGCAATTTTGTGCACCTCCTGGAGCTAACACCTGGATTGTCCCCACATTAACACCTGAAACTGGTCTTATGCACTTGTTATGCAGCTCAGAGGTATGCCACTCCAGGGCAGGTTTGTCTCTGATCCATGTTATCCAGCTCGTGTTAAACTAAGGTGTAGCCAGTCTAGGCTACCTGTAATGTAAATAACCCACTACTCACCCACACTGTCCCCAACACCCCAGGTTCCTGCTCACTGCCCTCCTCCCCCCTTCCCTGCTGCTTGCTTGTGCCTATGCACAGTCTGTCCTGGGGGAGCAGGCAATGAAGGGTTAATCTGTCTGCCTGGCCACCAATGCTGTTCTTTGGGCAGGCTTAGCCCAGATGTGAGCAGCAGCCTGGTAGGGGCAAGGGCAAGAGGGCTGGGCAGGTAGGTTAACCCTTCCCTTCCCTTTCCCCTGAGACAGACAGTGTGGGCAGCCACAAATAAGCGTGGGGAGCAGTAGGAGGAACCCCCTGGGATGGGGGGTGGGAAAGAGGGGAGCCCCAGAAAAAGAGGGCAGGGAGCAAGGGGGAAGCCCAGAACAGGAGGGGTAGGATTCTTACCTTTCAGTCCTCCAAGCCTCTGCTGGCCTGCACAGGTGACTGCTCCAAACTTGAGCTGGCAATAACACTGATCGCCATTTGTACTGCTCATCATGTAAGACATAAAAGGCCCTTAGACTGTGCTGTTGCTGGCAGCAACAGCGTTTGCTTTCTAATTAAATGTAGTTTTTGTGAGAGGAGGCAGATTCACTACCTGAGAAACTGAGGTCCTTTTGCTTTTCCTTACCCTACATATCACTATAATGCAGATTTTCCAAATAAAGTGCCTCATCCCTGGCTGAGAAGGGCAAGCGGATGGCTGTTCCCAACCCCGACCAAGTCTTTGGGCTGCTGGTTAAGCTAGCAACAAGCTTATTATTTATAGTGCTTGTCTCTGTGATGGTGACATCTGTCCATAAATAACTAAATTGAGACCATCAGCTTCTTCCATGTGCACGCACCCATGAGCAGCCATCTCATGGAAACAACCTCTAGCTATTACTGACCTGGATAGATATAACCAGCATCTTAAATATGAAGACAGTGTCTATTTCCTTAATCATCTGGTTTCCAAACTTCTGTATCTCTTCATAGGCAGTTCATTAGAGCTGCGTTCATTTCCTTTGGCCAGCTGGCAGGGTAACTTCATGAGCGAGAGGAAGGTAGTGATAAACTTCAATACTTTGATGACTTTTCTAACTCAAGATGAATAAAACACTCCCTTCTTCACCCTGTAATTTAGTTACTGAAAATCACACTGAGAGTTACATTACGAATAGTGTATTTCCTGGCAGCAAGGTAGCTAAGTAGTTTGAAACAGTGGACATGATACTGCAGACCATCACTTGTTCTGTCTTCAAACACTGAATGGCTGCCTAATTTGGAGCCCACTTGCTAAAATGCTATGGGGATTAGGCTTCCAGTGGACTCCTTCAGATGCCCAGGGACTTCAAAGCAGCAAGCTAATATGAGCCTCTTGAATAAGCCTGCAAGCCCCATCTCTGTTCCAAAAGAGTTCTCCTCTCTGATTTTCAGTGCTGGCACTGGGAGACCTCTATTAGGACTCCAGGTAACTGCACCTGTTCCTCTTTGTGCCAAAAATTCATACATGATTCATGAAGAAGTTCACAGGTACCTGCAAGAGAGTCTGTATTGACCAGATGCACTGTTAAAATGGCACATATCATATGTGAGCTATTGGCAAAGGACTATATACATCTTCCTATATGAGACAAACCTCAATTACATCAGAGTGAACCCTACTGATCACAAAACTCTATTCTGGGTCTAAAATGTGCTAAAATACTTAAAGAAGCATAATGCATATTCTTCAAGTCATCTATTTTAATCATGTACTCAGTTTGAGCATGTGATTCTTTGCATTGCTGGCTGTTTTGGCAGGAGCAGGGAGGTACCCATGATGTTTCTAAAATAATCTGCTCCTGCTTCCATGGATGTTAACAGCAAAATTCTCATTGATTTCAGTGAGGGCAGGGTGGATTCCAAAATTATGAGTCTTGGAATTAGTGAGGTAAATTTCCTAGGAAATTAGCTGGGAAAGTCCAAAGAGGTTCTGACATGGGCAGAATGGTGAAAAATCAAATTAGGAATCATAGAAAATTAGGGCTGGAAGGGACCTCAGAAGGTCAATACAGTCTTGATGTAAATACAGCCTTTACTAGCAATCAACCTTCTGATTTGTTTCTTTTGTATTAATTCAAATACCCCTTATTCCATATTTGGTTGACCTTAGAAATAACCTTTACAATGAGAATTAACCTTTACAAGAATGCACAATTTAAGTCAGAACATGAGTATTCTGCCTACCACATGCATTGTACCTTTGTTTTATTGCACATATTTGTCTTTCCATGGCAGTTGCCACTTAATAGGTAGGGCAGCATTTTTTTCCCTACCGATAGAATAGTGCATATAAAAGATAAAAGGTGGCTTTTAGCAATATTTGACTAAGACTGCCAAAGAGTAGGGTGGGGGGGGGGGTTATTTGTAAGTTTATTGTAGCACTAAGAGTTCATTTTAGAAGTCAGTCTATTCAGTCACTACATTTTAATCAGAACATCATCTCTTTTTAATGGCAGATGCATCTAATTTCCAGGCTCTCTACTGAAATATGAAGCTACTTTTCAGTCTGATAAGCAGTAGCTTTTAATATGGTTTCTCCCTCAGTTTATCCTCTATTGTGCAGCAGGCTTGATGAGACTTAGGTTCTGCTTTCCAAAAAACGTCACACTAAACGCTGTTTATCAGATTTGGTATCCCATCCTAGAGGAAATGAAACAGAAATCTCCCCCTCTCAAAGTGACAGCATGCAAATTAGAATGAAAAAAACCCAATGTATGTATGCCTAATATTCTTTGTGAATGTCTCTCTTTCACGAAAGTTCTCTTAGACACCAGATTGATGAATAAAAGAATA